AATTCTGTAATCCAGCTTTTGTATTTGTTGCTGTGACAAGGTATGTTTACCAAATGCTGTGGGGCATCACCTGATATCTAGCCAGATGAAGAGCCAGACTCCTTCATTTGTTGTTACAGAACTCCCAGTTTCCTGCCCAGGGTCTTCACTTTTTTGCACATTAGAGCAGGCCTATGTGCAGAATCTCCAGGCAAGAGGACTTTTTTTGCATATGGACATTACACTGAAGCAAAACACATTAGCAGTCATTAATCCATCTATGTACTTGTCTATGTATTTGAATGTGCTGCATTTTACAGTCACTCAAAGACAGATATTTCTAATAATCTCAAATAAAGGGCCCCACAAAAAAATACATTGCAGAAATGAAATACATAGCGAAAAAACGTGGCTTTGCTTTTTGGAGGCAAGGAGGCTCCCTCGTGTGGTCAACACATAAGGCTTTTTCTATGATGTTGGCACATATCTCTTAAGTTTCTTCAAGAGCAGAAAACACAAATTCACTGGCATAGCCATATGAAAGGTGCTGATTGCAGTGGGATGGATTTTCAAAGTCAACTGAAGTAAATATGCATACTGTAGAAATAGGAGATGCACCTCAAAAAAAACAAGGATTATAATTTCATTCTGGGCTATTGCAAACCTGGACTATCCCCTTCAGCTCACTGTAGGTAGCACCACAGCATTTCTGCATGTCTAGGAGTGTAGGCCAAAAATTGTGACTCCAAGTGTGTTTTATTAAGGCAAATATCTTAAAATTATCTTAACGTAAAAAGCTAAGGCTTAGTTCAAGTTAAACCTAAGTAAGTAAGAATGTACCTTCATGTATAGTGTTAATGTAAGCAGTAGATATTGATGTGTGATTACAAAGCAGTGAATATGTAATTACAGAAAAATCTTCAAACCTGCACTTGACTCAGGTAAGCACAACATACAGAAAGGTTTTTGACATCTTGAGCTGTCTAAGTGGAGTATCTTGCAGCTATTTTTCCCACTGCAGACCTCAGTCAGATTCCTGAAAGTTACCTATAAGGAATAATGTTGGGGTGATAAAGCATCTTACCACCACAGAGAAACCAATGGGATGTTGTATCAACTTGTAGACTTAAAATATGGAATACAGTCTTAGCTTTTCTAATTGTATAAAAATTGTTGGATACACACTATGGATAAGTCTTCTCAGAGAGGAAATAAAGTACCAAAAGCATAATTTAGAGACTTGGCAGTTTGACGTACTAAGTTCTTTTATCCAGTATTAGTTGTGAAGGAAAAATTGTACACTTAAAATTAGAAACTAAGCATACTGGCCTATTTTCAGTGCAAACCTCAATTGTCAATAATTTGTTTGCATATTTAAGGTGCCACATTGCTAAATTTCGTTGTAATTACACCAGAAAGCAAGAACAGCTGGGAGCACCTGTCTGTTCTACTTGCTGATTTTGTACTCTCCTAGAGAATTGTGTACACAGTGGTATATTGTGATAAATACGTGATTTTAAAAACGCATGAATCTTTCCACATGACAGTTCTATATCCACATAATGGATAGTGCCCTGATCCACAGCTCTGTGAGTTGCCTCAACATTTCATTAGTTAACACTGTTGGATTTTTTTATTCTCTGTTTGTGTCTCCTGCTTCATTTGTCCCAAACAATGGAGAGGAGATAAAAAGAAAGCTCTCAAAGAAACCGCAGGAGGAGTGAATGAGTTTATCAGACTTTGTCTTGGCACACTGGAATTATAGTAAAGCATAAAGGTCTGAATAAAAATTGATTTTATCCTTTTTGATCTGACCAGAAGACAAGCTTCCTGCTTTGAAAGCTTTTATGTACAGAGGTTGATGGCAATACAGAGCTGCCTCAACTCCTCAAATTACCTGTTCGTAAAATTCAAGTGGAGCTTTTTTCAACAAAAAACAATATTGTACTGTCTGCAAACAATACACAGACTGAGCCTTCGGTACAGTTGAAAATACGGAAAGCTGAAGTTTCAGGTTTCATGAAAGTAAAACAGATTGTGAGAAATGGAAAAGGTGTGTGAAAGAAAGACAACTGTTTTCACCTTCATGTAGCACATCCAGTGTGGAATAGAAATTGATGAGACCTTCTTGCATCGTTTGTTCCTGTGCAAAGGGGAGGCACAGAAGGGTAAGTGGGAAGAGGGTGCTATAAGGAAACTCTGGACTAACCATGATGATAAAGAATCTTGTGTTCCCTTTGAAATATGTGGTCAATATTTGCTCTGTAATACATTCGTCTTTTATCTTGAGATAAGCAATAAGCCACAACCATATCTGTGTTATAAGCCAAAGTACTTTACATGCAGCACATATAGACCTGCCCTTCAGGCTCACTTTCATTCAGGTGTCTCAGACACAGACAGTGCTGTGCCTCTGGTACTGCCCTTCATCGACTTGTTCCCAGTTGTTACTCTGTAAACATAGGGATTTTCCAGCCCAGGATGGACATTTTGCTGTGGCAGTGCTTTAACTGCTTCCCAGTGACAGCTTTCCTGTAGCCTTCAGGAAAGGCTTCAGGAGCCGTAGTTGTACTTTGGGGTTGTAGAGCAAATGCTAGGTGTTTTAGAAAATGGGAGCATTCTACAGGACCTTGTGTGGGAATTTTTTAAATTTCCAGTCCTGTAGAAAGGTATCTGAGTAAATAAATAATCAGAATAAATAGCAACTTTTTATGCTTTCTTTGTTTTCTTCAGATAAAGAAAGAAACAATTGACCTACTGGAGATGAGTATTATAAAGCTGTGCAGAGAGGGGTCTGTGAAGCTGGGACTTTTTTGATGAGCATACCGACAAAGAAGTAATTTGCAGCTGCATTTTACTGTTATCCTGTCTGCAATTGGCAAGTGATGAACAGGTGATGAAATCAAGAATTTTGACTCTTCAGAGGTCTGTCAAGACAGCAAGAATGCACATTGCAACTTTTTGTGAGCTTTCCTTTCTTTTAATAATAAAAGAGAAGTTTTGTTTGTAGTTCTAGTGTGATTTTTATAGCAGGAAGAATGTCATACTGAAATTAGAATTACATTATTGCTTTCACTTGCTAGATTTAGTACTATATGTCACTATTAAGACTTCAAAGATGAGCAAACCTGAGTATTGATTTTCTGTTCTCTTCTGCTGTCCCAAAGGAGACATATATTTTTCTCATGAGAGTGGTAATCTAGTTCTTGCCCCAGAGGTTCCTTGCAAAAGTTGTATGAATTTCAGTAATAACTGGCCAAATGCTATTTTTTTGCTTTTACATGATAAATTATCTGTATATTATATCGAGATTTTATTTTGGTTAAACTGTTGAAATGTGCCACAAATATTCTTCTGTTTGTCCATGGAAATTAAAAAGAGATGAACTCTGGATGTTTCTTCTGTCATTGTGGATAGTAGGGAATGGATGGATTCTTTTTCAGAGAACAAGGTGAATAGAGGTGATCAAATCATCAGTATGTTGGAAAGCCATTGATCCAAATCAGATATTTTGAAAATGAGTAGTTCTTCTGTGATAAAGGACACATAACCTTTTTACAACCTTTAATTACATCTCAGCCAATAGCAGTGAATGTAATAGGTCAAGAAAATTGGTTTGGTCTTCAAAGCAATGTTTTCTGTCCAGTCCTGTCTCAGTACCTGCAGTCCTCCCCCGTGGAATCCAGTGCATTTGGAGGAGAACTCCTTTCGTTGTATGCCTTGCCTGTTAGCTGGGCAGCTATGGGAGTGAAGGGAGAAGAAATAATGCATCTGAAATTACATGGAAATTCCAGTATAGCTGACAGTATCCCTGCAAATGAGTAAGACATAACAAATCCTACTAGGTTGTGGGGCAGGAAAAACGTATTTAAGCTTTTCCAAGAAACGTGAACTGGACACCCTGATCAAAGTACACAATCATATGATTGGTACAAGCTGATCATGGGGATCCAGGCACAAATACAGAAAACAAGGAAGGGAGAGATGTAGTTAATAAGTAATTCCTGGCCATAATGCAGGTTTGAACAAACAATACAGTCTCCCAATAATAAAGACAGTATCTCAGCTTAAACACTCTCCAGCACAAGTATATTATTCCTTCCTCTCACCGAGAAGAAAATGAAAAACAAGACAAACTTTCCTTCACAAGAAGGAGAAGCACGCCCTTCCAGATGTCCAGATAACAGTGCATTCAAACAGCAGAGGCTGCCAGCTTGGAAGCCCCAACTTAATATTGCGACTGTGCTCTCCAGCTTCTTCCTCACAGGCGCGTTCTGCCTTACTGTGGGAGTCTGCCTCGTACTGTCTGCAAACAGCGTCAGAGAAGTCCAGGTTTGTTTGGGGGTGGTGTTCTTAGATATTCTGTAAAGTAGAAACTGGGCTAGGTTTGGAGGAAAAAGGCTTTGATTTTCCACTTCTGAATAAAGTGGTAGCAATGGCTTCACGCCCTGGATGTATGTCCAGCAGGTAGTATTCCTGTGAAAATTTTCAGAGACTGTGGTTGGTTATCAATAAAACCCAAGCACGGGGTGGTTAACTGGGTGGTAATGTCTGAAATATGGGTGATAATTACTGCTGCTGGCTGGTAATCCCTGAAGTATTGCCATTATTTCCTGGGGTTTTGAAGGGAAATAAGCAAATCCCTTTGATAGTGTTTGGGGCTAGAAGAACATAGGTTTGCCAGAGCAAAATCTTAAAATACCGGGAGTCCTAATGTTTAAATCCCTCCTGGAGGCAAGGTTGTTTAGACCTGTGGTGTTGTTAATAGACTCCTGGTTGGAGCCAACACTCAGCACTACATCCAGGCCATTCAACAGGGGTGGGCTGTGATGCATGTGGAGATTTGTCAAGTATTACTTGGTCAGCCAGAAGTGCAGAAGGTGCAGAAGCGTTTTTCACTCAGCACTCCTTTGCCGAGGAGCAGATGTGAAGGTTCTGCAACAGTCATCAGAAGGCTCTAAAATGGCTTTAAAGTGGGGATAAATTTTGTGAATGTTCATTGAGGCCAAGTCCTCATTCTCTGCCTCTTCATTTTTAACAATGTTTTTGGCAGTGCAGAGTCACTTAGAAGAAAACTGCTCTGAGAAGTCTTGGAGCTAAAACCTCTTCTTATGCGCATGTCCTTTATTACAATATCTCTACTTGTTCACTTCTGACAGATAGATTATTCAGATAAATGCTCAGATTGTTCAAAATTCCGTGAAAATTCCTCTAACTGGAATAAGAAATGCCATTGTTCTGTTAATTTCACGCTAAAGGAAGATATATTGGTAAGTAGATGCAAGACACAACTGAAGCTGCTTAGTAACACCTGTTACTTATATCCCTGTATGATAAAATACGCTGATTCTGTTCTGTAAAGCTCCTGACTACATTTTCTTTGTACTTTTTCAAAGCATGAAATACTCAAAATTTTACGCTTTTACCTTCATTAATCGTTTTGGTATTTGTTGAAAATAATCAAGACCAGACTACCTCTGTCCTTATTTGGGAGATGTCCAAGGAGAAGATGGAGGTGAAGGAAATCGTTTTTGATTGTGGAGGTGACGTCTCTCTGTATCTCCCTCTGAGTCAGTAGCAAACCCTTGCCCTTGGCCTGGGGTTAGTTGTTACTGCACTGCTAAGCTCTCAAGAAGGAAATCTGAAGCTCTGACCACTTTACATAAGTAAACCCCTGTAGTCTTTTTTACAAGGGTTATGCTGTTAATCCCCAAGGTCCTTGAAATAACTCAAGTCTAGCAATGTGATTCTGCAGTTTCATTTGGAAAAAGTATCCTTCATTTCCTGTCCTGAACTAGCAGGTCATGTTGTTGAGACTGTTAAAATGCTTCATGTTCCACCAAAGAGATGTTATACTTAGTATTGCATAAATGATCCATTAAAATTATAGTGCAATTTAAATTATGAAGTCACTTTAGGATTCTTCAGTATTGAAGAGGCTGTTAAAATACTTGTAATTCTTCAGATTACAGTGATGTTTGACATGAGAAGTTAATTTAACTGAATAATGGGTGGGGGGTTATAGTTGAATAATTATCTTTCATGCTTGATTTGCCTGCCTAGCATTCTCCTTTTAATTTGAAAGTTTTTGTGCACCTTCTTTTGTGGAAAATGAGTGTCTGTCTCTGTGAAATGATTCATTGGCCAAGTTCATGGCCAGCCATGCCATCTTGAGTAAAATAATTATGAGGCGTTTTTATTTTAGGTTTCATTTGGTAATTTAAAGTATGTTTAATTTTGTGCCAAAATACCAAAACTTTCAGTTAGAGTAAAGACTATATTCTAGACTATGTCTGCTGTATTGCTTAGAGTGTAGTTACTAACACTTAAATGCAAGCTGAGCACTCTGTTCCCCTCTCTTTCTTAGCAAGTAATAGGATTTTTCATTGTGTTCATGAACTCACCTTATTGAAGGGATTTATCTTTGAATTCTAGGGTGATGTTTTTATGTACTATGGTCTGCAAAACTTCTATCAAAACCATCGTCGATACGTGATCTCCAGAAGCGACGCACAACTCTTGGGTCGAAATGTAAACGTAAGTTTTCTTTGTATGTTATGAGATCACCAGCAGGTGCATCTTTTACCATATGGAGAGCTAACTAGGCATAACTGTTAAGTGTGTTTAGATGGCTCTAGGGAATGATAAAGTAAAGGTTTTCAGTGTTTGGTCTCTGCTTTCATGCTTGCTATGGCCATTAGGTCTAATAAGTTAATAAGAGAGAAAGACTGAGGGGATAAAAGCTGTCAGTCCAGTGTTGCAGTTCTCAAACCTGCACACTGTAGGGAGTGCTGCTCAAAAATACATTGTCTTTTTCAAATAAATTTACAGAAAGCTTTTCCTTCTCACATTTTCAGTCTTAGCCAGAAATGTTTAAAGCTGTGCTATTATTATAGGGTTAGGGAATTAAGTTATTCTAAGTCTTTCATTTTGCCATCTGGCTGTGGAAGCAGACAAGGAGGAGGAAAAGGTTTATGGTGAAATAAGTGATCATGTATTCTAAGTATGCAATTTAGAGCTCTAAAGAGGGAGCTAGACAGCATTGCCTGCAGCAGACCTGCATAAGGAAATTGGAGAATGCAATCATGGCATTCAGGTTTTTTTACTTACAAATCTAAACCATATTTTCTTTGGCTTAAAAGTAGCATTTCTTAATATACACACTATCCACATGCTGTCCTTTCAGTATGGATGATGGTTGTGCCATAATAATCTGTTGTTTCTATAAAATGCTTCTTGTAAAGTTAAAGACATGTTCCTCATACATCTGCTTCTTTAAGTGTCCTGTCAGCTTGTTTGTTTGCATCCAGATGAAACTGCTTTTGGCTGTTGTGCCTATCAGTTATACAGCTCATTGGAGTTACTTGAAAATGTTCCCATGTTTAAACCTCAAGATTTATAGTTTCCCATGAACCTAGGATAGGAGAGATGTGATAAATTTGAGGTGGACTTTTGTTTTTCAGTTCATACATCAAGATTTCTCCATGTTGAACTGCAGTAATGTGGCTAACTATATCTGCTGTTCTCCAGCACTAAAGCAGTCCAGGTCAAAATTAAAAAGAAGGAAAAATAAGATGCTCTGTGATAAGCCAAGGCTTCCCTGGAACATTTTCAGCTGTAGCCATGTTACAGCAGCAGATCCCCAAATCTGTTTTTGTAGTCTGGAGCTTGCAAGTCCGCAGCAGAACTTGGTGAAGACCTTAAGTTTACGTGCCATGATATGGAAGGTGTTCCCCAGCTACAAACTCATTCATTTGGATGTTTCTCTAATGTCACCAGAAGGTACTGGAGACTTAATTGTTCAGTGGCTTTTCAGAAGAAGGAATAGGGGAGGACAGCAGCAAATTAAAACTCCAGGTCTGTGCCTGACTGTTCTGTGACCTTGAATGCAGATTCAGAGGAGCTACTGTGCGCCCTTCGCCACCTACCGAAATGGGACCCCCATGGCGCCGTGCGGGGCTATTGCCAACAGCATGTTCAATGGTACGTGTGTACCTTCCACAACCACCTTACTGATTTCCACTTGGGACTATTCCATTACCCCATACTTGAAACTACTCCCCATTACTAGGCTGATGTTGCAAGGTCTCTGTCTTTCTCCCACAAAAAGTTTTGTTGTTTGGTAGTGCAACTCTGGTGAATATGGGGCTCTGCTGCCTACTGTTTGGTAACTTTTTTGAAACTGAGGGAGATTTTTCATTTTTTTTAGGACCTTTTCAATGTGAATATGTAGCAGGACTGAGGAATTGAGTCCCTGTTGAAATAAGGAACAATGATACAACAGATTTAGTGTGCTTCCTTTCTAAAAAGTACATTCTCGTATAATGATGGGAGACCACAGATTGTGCCTTCCCACACTGGTGTGCGTAGAAGGAGGTGACAGATTCTCCACATTGGTTTGGACCTTTGGATCTATGTGGTTTCTTTTTTGGTCTTTGAATGCTGGAAGCATACATAGTTTTAATTTGTACTGGGGTTACATTTTCTTTGTAGTAACTTAGTAGGTACAACCTACCTATGAGTTTCGGAGATTTCAGAATGTATTTATTTGGAAAGAAAGGAGACAAAAAAATACTCCATATTTTCTGTCTGCCGATCTCTGCCCCACCCCCCCTTTTTTTAACCTGTTGCACACAACAGGTTTTGGCAAGGCAGCAGCTCTTTGCAAGCAGCTGAGCCACCCACACCAGAAGACTTGTGAAGGTCAGCTGCATTCAGTAACTTTTAGATCCATTTGATTTTCATCTGCCTATGCACCTACCTACTGCCCTAGAAGTCTGATGTACTGGACTAGGCTCAGACCCAGGCCAGCAGAGCTACCTTTGTGCAGCCCACACTGTTCTGGAGCCCCCGCTGAGGGTGAACCTCCCGGTGTCTGCCTGTGCATCTGTCCTTAGTGCACAGTGTGGTGAAAAGTTCCATCTGCTGGTGATGTGGGGAAAGGAGTTGATGTCCCCTCTCTGGTAGCTCATTTCTGACCCTCCTGTGTGAGAGAAGGTGCTGCCCTTTTGCTTTTGGCAGTTTAGCTGGTTATCTAAACTGCTCTCTGATCTTGTTTTATAACATGAGGAAGATGGCCAAGTTCCAGCCACGGGGAAGGTTTTTAACCCAAGATAGCAGACAAGGGAGCAGTCAAGGCAAGCATTTAAGCAGACAGAGCTCAGAGAATTGCAACTCCTGTTAATGAACTGGTGACAAGCAGGTGGGGAAGTAGTGGGACACGGAATGATCACTTCCTCAGAAGAGTGTGTCTGAGTTTTAAGGAGTGTAAACACAGGTTTTGCAGCAGGATAAAAAAAAGGTATGTTTTCACTGATGTCATGCAGCCGAGTTGTGTTTTTCATGTTTTCTAAAAAGCAGCCCCTCCCCATCTCTATCATCCAAGTATCCCTGCTTCATCCCATTGGCACCAAGGTGTTTACAGAGGTGTTAATGAGACCTCTATTATTTTTGCCTTTTGTTAAACTAATCTAAGTAGGAAAATATAATGGATAAAAGAAGTACCCTTCACCCACTGAAACAGGATGGCATGGTTAACCACAATTTTAACTAAATGTTTTTTGATTGAAGAAAATGTTCATGTCCAAGTTGATAGACAAGCTCTGATTGGTATAAAACTAAACCAAAATTTTCTCCAAAGCATCGTGGATTCTGATTACCTTTACAGTGCTTTCACCTCTCCCCTCTTCCCTGAAAACACATGTTATGTATTTATAGCAAAGCAGTCAGTTGAGGGCAACTGCCAAAGGAATAGTAGGGAAAGTAGTAGGGTACTAGGAGAGTAACTTCTGTAACTAGCTAGAGAGCTCTGAAAGTGATTTGTGAAGAAATTAATCCAACAGGAGTTCATGGACATGAGATCTGTGCCCATGTTTCTACAAGGCATTGTTTCCTCAATAGGGTTATTTGTAGGAGTAGGTTCAACCTAAAACTTTGGAAGTTCTACGACTGGAACCCTAATCCTTCTCTTGGAATGTACGGTATTCTGTACGCAGTCATGATGAAACCTTTCCCAGGACTTTTCTTGTTTTTTATTCCCTTGAGAGGTGCTTCAGTGTGACTTTTTTTGTTAGTCATGCTCGTAATTAGGATGGCTGTCCTTTACTCAAAGGTATTGCTTATTGTGTTTCCTGCAGATACTATTGATCTTTTTTACAACCGTAACTCATCTGTGATTCAAGTGCCACTGCTGAGGACTGGGAACAGTTGGTGGACAGATAAAAATGTGAAATTTCGCAATCCTGAATCATACAATCTCTCTTCTGCATTTGCAGGTAAGAATGCTTCCTTCTGCTGGTATTCCTTATTTTTCAACGGCTTCCCTACCTCCCTGCTCACGTATCTCTCTGTCTGAGAAAAATCCCTTTTAGAAGAAATACGAAAGCAGGTTAGAGAAGCAGCTTAGAGGGTGACTGAGAACAGAAGACATATTTAGCCAAAATATCACCTTTTTATTTTTTCATTTGGTAGCCACATTTTGTCTCCACAAAATTGGAAAAAAAAGGATTTGGAAGACTGAAGTTAGCCCAAATCAACACCCTTCTGTATAGTTTCTTGTAATGCTTAATCTGGCCAGGGAAAGCAAGGAGGCAGTTGCTTTGGGTTTTTTATCTTTTGGAAACATCTATAAAGGAGAGTTGCATGTCACATCTTTCCTTTGTGCTTTTGCAGAATCTTAGGCAGTTGTGAGACAACTGAGGCTGCCTTCGTCACTGGTTCTTTCAGACCTGTGTCCTAGGGCTCTTTGTTGTTATGGTTGATCTGTATTGAAGTGTGACTAAAAACTCCCTATTCTGCATCAGGGCAGTGCTGTGCTGGATGCAAAATGCAAGAGTTAATTAGCTAAGTTTCATGAGGCAGATTCTAAATATCAGAGGCCGTGCCATTAGGCTGCAAAAAGGAGCCTCTCTGGAGTAAAATAATGTATAAAAATGAAGGTAAGCTCCTCATCATAGAGAGCATGTGGCTTGTTGAAGAGGCAACAGGAATCCAGAATACACAGTATTTTCATGTGTGCAAGTCACTTTGTTTTTCCGGAGCTTGAAGTTTCTAACGTGTGTGGCAATCTCTGGGTTAAACTGTTCATTCATGTTTGAGGTGAGGGGAGATGCTTGGGTGAAAACTGTTATCTAGCCTATATAATTTCTGAATATTGGACAGTGTCTCGTGTCCCTTCCATATCTCATATTCTGCGTTGGTTTTGAGTAGGCCCAGAATTTAGCCAGCAAACCACTGTTTTTTTTCTGACAGTGTGTCTTTCCTGCTTCATTTCCTTTTCCATCAGGGACAGCAAGACCTCCTTACTGGCAGAAGCCAGTGTATCTGTTAGATGAGGAAGATGAAAGGAACACCGGTTATGTCAATGATGACTTCATCATCTGGATGCGAGTGTCAGCCTTTGCCACGTTCAGAAATCTTTACCGCCGTGTCAAACGGATCAGGCACTTTGCGGATGGGCTGCCAGCAGGGAATTACACGTTCCGTATTTCCTACAGTATCCTTTCATATTATCTAGGACTGGGAGATAAATGAGATGGGAGCGAGTCGGATTTTTGTGGTAAACTGGCAAAGAAACTGCACAGAACGCCCCAAACTGACTCACCATGAAAAATAAGACTGTGATAATGGACTCTTTTTAGCTCCTGCAGAGGTTAGTAAGGGTTGTTACTCAAACAGCAGCTCCTGACTTTGGTTCTGACTTCTGAGGGGGCTGCTTTTGGCTGGTAACATTACACAGGTGCATCACACAAAGGGTAAAACTGAAGAGTGGGAACCTAAAGAGATGGTTGAAGATGCTGTTTGAGCTGAAAATAATATTGGCCTAATGAGATGGGTGGAATCCCTTACTGGGGTGCACGATGTGCAGAGGTGTCTAGCAGCACGGGATGCCTGGGTCAGCAGAGCCTTCTGATGGATTTGGGCCACGTGCTGACTGACAGGAGCTTTTGTGCTGGTGCAAATGCCCTGTCACACCCAGCAGCAGGAACTTTGCTGACTACAGCATTCCTTTTGTCAGCAGGAGTTATGTCAGGATGACTGTAAATTTCTCTTCTCTCTCAGCTGACAGAGCTATGGTTTTAAATATGGCACAGTTCTATTCTGAATGCTTCCATGAGAGAGATGAAAGGTAAAATCAAATACCATTCTGGGTACAACATATTAGGTAGAGATGAGCGTGTATCCTCACTGAGACTGTTTGGAGTATCATGATAAGCTGCCCCAAAGGCTCATTTTCAAGTTTTCATAGCAAAATAATGCAGTAGCAGTTATATAAATTATGAATCTGAAATTTGCAATGTTTTTAAAAAGAAAGTATTTCCAGGTGCACACAAAGACTGTCACTAAAATAACTGGATTTCTTACCACCAGCTGCTACTGGGTTTCTGGATCCAGAATAGCAGAGATAGATCAGTTAAAGGAGTTTTGGCAGCAAATGCAGACCTCCAGACTCTTTGTGCCTTGAAAAGGTTTTTGAGCATTTAACCATTCTGTTCTCTTCTCCTGGAAATAATATAAACTTTGTTTGTGAATTCTTAACATCCTTCTATCAGATTTCCCTGTTTCCAAATTCAAGGGGAGGAAGCATGTGATTCTCTCAACTGTGGTGTGGAGTGGAGGGAGTAACCCCTTCCTGGGAATTGCCTATGTGGTTTCTGGCACAGCAGCAACCCTGGCAGGTTTTGTCATAACTGCCATCCACTTGAAGCTGAGAAAAAAGAAAACATACTTTCAGAGGCAATAAGGTTCCCTGGCTTTCTGAACAAAAGCAAAGGTGTGCTGTGAATGGAGAACGGGCAGCACAGACCTTTCACTCTTTCCCCTGAGCTCTGGGCCTGTTTCAGTATCAGGTTTGACGAATGTGAGCAAACTGAGGAGCAGTGCTCTTCCATCATCTCAAACCAAACTCACCTGAGGCAGGATTCTCACTAATGTATGTGTGCTCCTAAATTTGTTTCCTAGGAGACTTGTAGTGAGATGAGCTTCAAACAACAGGTAGCATAGTCAATTAGAATTGCAATGGCAAAGAAATATGGTACTAATGTGTGGCCAGGAGAAAGGGTCCATAATACAAACAACATTTCTCTTGACTTAAATGGAGCTTTGGATGGGTAGAAAGTGAGGACTTCCAACAAAAAGTTTGAGCAGATAGAACTTACTGCTAAAATCTGATTGTGAGCCACATACATGTGCTAAATGGCTTGGATTTTATATAACTTTTTCAGCTATCCTGAAAAAGCAACCAATTTAGCTCAGCATATTCACTGATGCTCAATTTATGATTGAATACAGGCCATTTATTAGGAGTTTGGAGTTTGTTTAAACCAAATTTATTGGTTTTATCTAGGTACTGAGGGCTGGAGGGCATCAAAATACTGATTTACAATTTTTTTAAATGATGATGTAATAGCTTAAATTAAAAACTCCTTTAATTCTGAATAATTTGGCAGAAACATCTACCTGATACAACCACTAGGCCACAATTACACTCCTACCTACCCCACTCTTCCATGTGAAAGTTCACAGATTCTTACGTGACACAGAATGGTGACTCATTGTCAATAGAAAACAAAGCACCAGAAAACACGTCAGCTTAATTTTGAGAAAGTAAACACAACAGCTCATGAATAGGCTTGTCATTTTTCATGTTTCATGAAAATTTTACATATTTAGGAGTTATTTCGAGTCTCTCACAAAATGAAGGAACAGCACTGAAGAATTTAGGTCAAGCATACCATGGGACATCTACATTTTTTTTAAACCATTTTTCTGTTGCAAAAGTGCAAATGGAATAAAACATTTTGATAAGTATTATGTGTGACTTGCCTCCCTTTCTCCTGAAAAAACTTAAACGGGAATGTGGTACGGGGGGTTGTGTCCCACTCTCAGGGCACTCACAGCTGCTTTTCAAAGTGTCTCAGGCTGAGGAGCTTTGACAAATGGCCTCTGGTGAAGGTGTTTGCAGCCACAGAAGGTACCGTTGTGTTGAATCTCTACTTTGTAACTGAGCCATGAGCAGCAGAAGGGGCACTGCTCAAGGTCACAGCCCAGCCTGGGAGCACAGTCTCACTCCATCGATGTTTTATGCTGACCTGGGCAAAGGTCCGTGTTCCTGTCTGCGTTTGCTGCTCAGGGCCAGTCACCTCCTTCTGGAAACTGTAGAAAGAGGCTTCCTGTATTTCAGCCTTTGTGTCTGAATCTGTCAGTAGCTGTGGAGAACCCTACCTCTCACTGGGCTGGACAAGACAGAGCATGAAGCAGTACATCCAGCAATGCTTAAGCTCATTAGTCTAAATCTCTTTTAACAATGAAACAGGCTCCTAAACCTTTTAAGTCCTTTTGAAAATTTAATTTCTTGCAGCTCTCTGGAAAACCCTGATGGGAGTTCTTGTCAAAGCTGAATTTAAATTTTCTGGCTCCTAAAAGACCACAGGATCTTCTTTATTTTTGTCTTTCTGTTTCTTTCTGGTTTTATTTTTTTTTAATCCCCTGAGAAACTGACTTTCAGGAAATGATATGGGTAGTTAAGTCACCGTGCAGTTGTCACTTATCTTATTTCTTCATGAAGTATCTGGTAAAAATGTTAGTAAAAGGAGACTGAATAATGAGGTGTGTATTTCAATGAGTCAGTGTCTACCAGAAAAAAAAAAAGTTACCTAGAAAATGCAGTCTGCAGTCTAGCACATAGTGTTTGCCCATTATCTCCCAGAGGTTTGTGCAAGAACCTCTTCTCTCAAAATGTGCGTTGCCTTCAAACCACTCCATAGGGAAAACCTGTCTTCAAACAAGTCTTTCTGTTTTTCCAGAAGTTGTCTAAGTCTTCATTTATAAATCCAGTATCTCATTTTTCATCTTACTACAGCTTTAAACACACCTTACATCTTTCTTGTACCCTTGAACAGTGTCCTTGGAAGCTGCTGCTTGAGCTCCAGCCATTCCTGTTGTTAACTCTGAGAAGCTCTGCAGTGTCCGTCGTGTTCGAGATTGTGCTGCCCAGACCAGAGCAATGGCAGTGGCAGTTTTGATTAATTACTCCCAATCTGCCTTGCTCAAAAGGCTGAAAAATAAGTTTCAGCAACCTCCTTACGGTGCCTTTTGTGCCAGTGCTGCAGCTACGCTGTTGGTCTGCCCCTTGTGCCGGGGCTTGCACAAATGTGCCTTAACAAGTAAGTTTTGGGGAGATGTTCCTCAGTGCCCACACTGGGAATACTCCCCTACCTATATGAAATGTGGATGGATTTTTTTGTTTGTTTGGGTTTTGCTGCTGTTACCTTATTCCCTCTAGTGCAGGGGCTGGAACAGAAGTGAGAGCCTTGGCTGGAGGACCGGCCTAACATAACAGAAAGGTGGTAAAAGCCATCATTAACTGCTCCCTGTGGCAGGTCTCAGGGGATTGTCCCCTTTGTTACGCTGCTGCTACCAGCTGGAGGCATGATTCCAGGCAAATATCCAGTGTGATTTTGAGTTCATTTACTATGGCTATTAAGAGATCATTAGGTCAGTTTGATGAGGGAAAGCAACACTAATATTTGGAGAGCAGAGGTATGAAGGAACCGGAGATGTTGCACTTCTGTTGAGGTACAAATTGCTTACAAAATATGTGGAGTGTCATGAGTGGTACTGTGCCTTTGGCACAGCACTGCTTTTGCCTTGCACATTTGATTTTATGAATTAAGGTTGTATGTGTTGTGTAAAGAGGGACAAAAAATAAGTGCCTTGGTTAAACTTTTCAAAATGGAATTTTAATTCTCTATCAAATATACTTCTCTCAAAGGTAAGTGGGCTCTTTTCTCTGAGAGATTAATGCGTGTAGACTTGGCAACTTTGTGCAAAGATGTCCAAGTTTAGGATTGCTGAATGCATTAAGAACTGTACCTGAAAAGTGTAAGTCAAAGCACCACTATGAGTGCTGCCTCACTAAGGCATGAAAGGCTTTTTGCCATTACTTGTAATATCTTCACGTATCAAAATTATTTAATTGTTTGGTTCCTTTGCTACTGCTGCTTAAAGCCTTATCTTGTATCATTGCTGTATATTCAGTCCCTTTGAGCTAATGAAACTTTGCTATTCACTCCTAACAAAAGAACGATGCATGTCAGAAATGGGGTTTAAGTTTGGTGGACTGAGTAATATGAATCATAGATGTTTAAAGTAATAGTGCATTTTTTTTTCTTTTCCCCATCATTTTTTCTAGAACAGATAAATAAAGGAGGACATTATTTATTCTTTTTGGTTTTTTTTTCCTTTTGGGAAATGGATATTTAGTAAATGGAAAACTGGACAAAGAATTCCTGTTAGTTGATGTAATTAAATTTGTATGATCTAAAATAGGTGAGCTAAATGGGATGTAAGTTTCTGGTGTTTGTGATTTTGAAGATGACAGTTACGCATGGGAACATCTCATCTTCTGGAGTTCAGTTTTTAAAAGTGGCAAAAATACTGGGAGGTGACAAGATCCCATTATTATGAAAAACTTACATGCAATTTAAATCTCATTTCTAAATTACAGGGAGGTATAGGAGAGAGCTGCATTTTAATGTCAAAAACTTTTAGTAGTTTTGGTTGCCAGCTCCTTTTAGGATTAAATTTCACTGATGGATATAACTCTGTATCCACAGAGAGAGAGAGATAAAAGTGAATCAGGTGTTACAGGATATTTCAGTAACACTTCACTTGGAGAATTTTTCCAAGTCTTTTTCAGGCATTACAGTCTCATGCACATACATCCAGTATTTGTCTGCCGTGGTTGGTTTTTCAGTTTCCAATCACAGACATTTGCTTAACTCATCTCATCTAAAAATAAAGGGATGAGTCTTTTATGTGAAACAGATTAGCATGATCACGGGCCTGTAGAATCTGGAAATGTTAGCTACATGCTGCATCTATTTTATATTAACAGCTGCGTTGCATGGAGATTTTTAGTGGTGGTGTTTGGGTGGTATATTTTAGTGATGCACCGCTGTGTAAAAGTTTTCTCTCCTTCCTCTGAGAAATGTAACTAATACAGGAGCAAAGTCGAAGTTCGGGGAAGGGAGGAGGGCTCTGTAAGTTTTGATAATATAAAGAGAGGTTGCATACAAAATTGGGGTTGAGTTTAAATCTGAAATAGGAGAGAATATTTGCTCGTCACATGATAGAAAGGTGCTGTCCTCCCTGGTTGGGAGCAGGAGGGCATGAGACAGAGCTGATTTGAGCAAAAGCTGTAACCACACAAGGAGGGGATTGGCAGAAGCAGGAAAAAGTACTTTATCTGCTTCAGTATGGAGGCAAAGAAATTTGGCTGAGATACTTAAGATGATGGTATATCCTGACGTGATCTGGAAAGCTCATATGATTTTGAGGAGCAGCCAAATTAAGTAAAAACATTTCTCTGCTTTCAGTGCACTCTGAACTACAGTGCATAGTTTCTTAGCTCAGTGTTTTGACTGAGTTCTCTGTAATTGCATTATTCCCTACAATTCCAAGAACAATTCTGTTATGAGCTGGGAGTGCCTTGGGCAGCTGCCTTTCCTTTGGTGGCCTCTTGTTTCCAAAAGAGGGATTGTGTAGCAGTTTTTGTTTGCTCTGGGTCCTGCTTTTTCCTCGGGTTATGGGAAGCCAGGCAGAGGAAGAGTGGGGCTTGTTTTGCTTTCGCTCACATCCATGAGTGCATGAAAAATGTTTTCTCCCTCTTGCCATTTAGCTGCCTTGGAGAGGGAGAGGTCAGTAGGGCTGATTCTGGTCCAGTGCAAGCAGAGGCAATGTTTAGATGACATCAAATGGTAATTGCCGTAAGTAAAGATATCAAAATAGCTCATAATCTCAGCAAGCTTGTATTTCAGAAAGCTCCAACCAAAAGATCTGTGCATCTACTGAGTAAGTGCTGTGTACTCTGTGGAAAAACAGCAGGAAATGGGAAGAGAAAAGGCCATTTGGTTGCACTCCTTCTCAGTTGCAGCCATTGTCACTTTGCATTGAAGTGCCTAAAATGATCCCTTTCAAACCAAAACAATTAAATAAGCTTGTGAACAAATGAGATTTTCTACTGTGTCAAACCCATCTACCCAAAGTTATTTGCCTTTTTCC